TTGAGGTATATAGTGATATTTTAAATTCGGAATTTGACATTATTGTGCTAACTGAAACATGGCTATGTGAAAGTATATTAAATAAAGAAATCAAAGATAGACGTGGTTTTTCGACATGCCAGGGAAACTTCTATTTTGCGTACCAAGCATGACGGTGGTGGCGTATTTATTTCAGTTTCAAAAAAGCTTAAAAGTTATAGAGTTATGAAATGGGAAAGTGGCTACGAAAATATATGGATTAACATTACTTTTAAAGAAGGTAGCCCAAATTTTACTCTATCGATTTGCGGTGTTTACTTGCCATCACCATTAAATTATGAGTGTCTTAAAAGCTTTTGTGATAATGTTTTCCATGTATCAGTTAAGCAAACCAATAAAATATTAATAGCAGGTTTTAGTTTTAATGTGGACTGAACAAACTAGTCAAAAATATCTTATTCCTGTTAGTAACAATGGCAAGATGAAAGAATACTTTATAGATTTCATAGCCAAAAATCGTCTTCACCAGTTTAGTCAAGCCCGAAATCCTTTTTATAAAAACTCTTGACCTAATATTAAGTAATAATGGAAGTGCTTTTACAATCAACGAAGTAACATCACCCAACCATAAAAATCAGTATAACTTGTACACCAGCTAGGAACGAACATAAACGAAAGAATGAATTTTTATAATGCCGGTTATAGTGTTATTATCAAAAAGATTGAAAAAAATTTCTCGGAATGAAATTTTTATTACATGGGGTGATGTTGATAAAATGCTAAAAGTCTTTTATTGTAAGCTCCACGAGATTATAGGCCGGCATATGAGGAAATATAAGAGAGGAAATAATAAATACCCGCATTGGTTTTAAAAGATTTTAAAAAATATTAAAAGAAAAAAATAAATACAGAAACATATACAATACGAGTAAATGTAATAGCGTTTAAATTACTGCGTAAAAGATGTGAAACCTCAATACACTCATGCTACAAAAATCAAATAAAAAATGTAAAAGAAAATATAATTAGTAATTCAAAATATTTTTAGTCATATTTAAAAGAGGTTAGAAATAACAAAAGTGAATATCCTTCTTATATGACATTAAATGCACAAATTTTTTCCAATAGTACAGACACATGTAATAGCTTTGCAAAGCATTTTTCAAGTATATACTCCGAGTATCCTGTAGGAAAAGAAAATGAAACTTCCAACATTGAACATTGGCTACAAGATTAAAATTTAATGTTTAATTTCAGAAATCACCAGGTGGTCAGTTCCTACAATAGAGAAAAAAGTTTACATGATGGCTCCTTGATATTAGCGGATAAATATTATTATATAAAGAACGTAAGGATATTATGAGCCTCTCTGTTGAGCGAACTATAGAAATGGCTTGTGTCGAGCTCGAGCACCTCATTGTTGTAAGTGTTTAAACATGCCACTTACGAATATTTTGAAGGGATTTTGGAAGAAGTTTTGCTCAAACTTAGTAAACAGAACAAGTCTGTTGTAATATGTAGACTTCAACATAGATCTCCTTGAAACTTCTGCCATTAGTATTAAGTTTTACTTATTACTTAAATCGTATAATGTTGTTAATTTATTCTTAGAACCAACACGTATTGATGGGCCTAGTACAATCTGTATAGATAACATTTATACAGAAGCCCTTGCATAAATAAATCATTCAAAATTTAAGTTCAGATCACCGTGGACAGTTGGTCTCATTGTCTTATACAACAAAGATCTACACAAAAAAAATGAAAATATTGTGTTTGTTCCAATAAATGAACATGGTTGGGAGAAGTTTAGATATAAAATAGTAAAAGGACTTCCATTACTTTCATTTTAAAATAGTCCTGATTATTTGTATGTTGCATTATTTAAAATTATAACTTGTGAATTTCATAGAATATTTACTTCTAAAACTTTCTCTATAAACAGTTGCAAATCTTTTAATGAATGGGCGACAGTAGGAATTTATAAATGTAGACGAAAGTTATACGAGCTTTATAACGAAAGATCATTTATATTCATACATATTCTCTAAATATAACACTATGATTATTCATAGTGTTATATTTAGAGAATGTGTAAAAACATATTCTAAATTTTTTGAAAAAGTTTGTTCCACAGCTAAGGTTTTACATTTAATTAACAAAATTAAAACTGCATCCAGCAAAATTAAAATGACATAGAGTATAATAGTTAATAGTGAAACGATCAAGGTCAAACCATGGCACTCCGATTTTCAACTGAATATTAATAATAATTTAACTAAATTTCTTCAAGAAGCTGCTATGGCTTTTGAGAAACATTTTACTGATGTTCCTTTTCTGACACCAAAATCATTAAATTCTTCTCCTACTGTTGCTGAATCATTGCCTAAACAAAACGTAAAGACTTGTTCAAATACTTTTAAATTCCATAGAGTATTGCCAAAAGATATCGCTAAATATTTTAAAACTATTAATTTTAATCTTAAGGGGGATTTCCATTAAAGTTATTCCGTCTATAATTCATACTGTAGCACCTTATCTAGCCACAATTTTCAATACAAGCGTCAAATCTGGTGTGTTTTCTGATCTCATGAAACATAGTAAAGTCATACCTTTATTTAAATCTGGTAGTACATTAGACCCCGCTAATTTTAGACCAATCTCTGTACTACCAATATCTAATTTTAGACCATATTTCTGTACTACCAACATTAAGTAAAATTTTTGAAAAAATTATTTTAGATGTTAAGTTTTTTTATTATAAATAAATTGCTTTATAAAATTAGTTTTATTTTGCATCGCTAGACGTCCGAGGCCAGATTCGAACTTATAAAACATATTTTTTTACGCATGGGAGAATTCAGATGATGCTTTGGATGTGTTTTATGACCTTTTCAGGGCCTTCGACTATGTTCACCATGAGACATTAATCAGGAAGCTACAGTACTATGGTGTCAAGAACACAGCGCTTAAACTTATTATTTCATATTTAAGTAATAGAATGCAAAAGGTTATTAGCAATGGTAAAAGTTCTCCCGGGTCACCTGTAATAATAGGTGTCCCTCAGGGCTTGATTCTCGGCCCATTCCTTTTTATAGTATACATTAATGACTTACCTTCCCTTTTAGGGGATAATCATGATATAGTTTTATTTGCTGATGATACTTCCTTGATTTTTAAACTTAAACATCAATCATTTAAATGTGACGAAGTGAATATTGCTATATCAAAATTAGTGCATTGGTTTAACGTTAATAATCTACATTTAAACGAAAATAAAACTAATTGTATTAAATTTACAACAATGAATGTTAAAAATCTGAATAACAATGCGTTTTTAAATGGCGAGGAATTGAGCCCTGTTGTATCCACTGTTTTTCTTGGCATCACTCTCGACGCAAAGCTTCAGTGGGGCCCCCATATGTCCAAACTAGCAATCAGACTAAGTTCTGCAGCCTATGCTGTAAAAAAGATTAGAGGTCTCACTAGTGTCGAGACAGCTAGATTAGTTTATTTCAGTTATTTCCATAGCATAATGTCTTATGGGATTTTGCTATGGATAAATGCGGCTGATTGAGAAACTATTTTTGTTTTGCAGAAGAGGGCAATAAGAGCTATTTACAACCTCTAGTCGAGAGAGTCTCTTAAAGGATAATTTAAAGAAATAAATATATTAAGTTTGACTACTCAGTATGTTTACGAAAATTTAATATATGTTCACAGAAACAAAGATAGTTTTAGTAAAAAAAAGTGATTTACACTCTGTAAACACTAGGAACAAACACAAGCTAGTGATACCAGTTTCTCGACTCCACAGAGTCAGTAATTCATTCTTGGGGCAATGTATACGCTATTACAATTTACAACAAGGTCCCGGAAAATGTACAGGTTCTCTCTATTACTAAGTTTAAATGTTTTATTAAGCTGAAACTGTATAAAAAGGGTTATTATAGTATAAATGAATTCATGGTTGATAATAACCCCTGGGAATGAGGTGATCGCTTCCAAGCAGTTTCTAAAATAAGTGTCTGTATGTACACAGAAATAAAGATAGTTTTAGTAAAAAAAGTGATTTACACTCTGTAAACACTAGGAACAAACACAAGCTAGTGATACCAGTTTCTCGACTCCACAGAGTCAGTAATTCATTCTTGGGGCAATGTATACCCTATTACAACAAACTCCCAGAAAATGTACAAGGTATCTCTATTACGTATCTCTAGTAAGTTTAAATATTTAATTAAACAAAAACTGTATATAAAGGGTTATTATTATATAAATAATTACATGGTAGATAATAACCTCTGGGAATGAGGTGGTCGCTTCCAAGCTGTTTCTAAAATAAATTTAGTAAATAGTTTGTAAGCATTTATAATGTAAAATTTATTTGTAAAAAAAGTCCCGCTGGGTTTCTTGCTGGTTCTTCCCAGGACAGAAGATTTCTTTCGAACCAGTGGTAAAGGAAAAAAGTGACTTTTAATAAGAATTACTTGTAATCAATATTGAGTATAAAACTTATTCTTATTCTATTCTTAACATTTTTTGTGTTTTATATATAAACATATATTTGAATATTAATGGCCAAGATATTTTCATAATTTCTTAGATATTTTTTATTGAATTGTGTCACTACTGCTAATTAAAATTTTATTTTACCATCGTAGATTTTCCACTGGACTTTTTACTTGAAAAAAGACTCTAACTTGAACCTGAAATTAATTATTAAATACTTTTTGTAATAAGACGTGTTATGAGCTTCAAAAATAATTTCATTCCCAATCCAAGTCTTGAGCACATAAAGATATATCCAAAAAATAAGACAAAAATACACTTCTTAATACAAAAACTTCTGTTATACGAGTATAACAGTATTCAATAATCATAAATCAATATCAACGCTAACGAAAACCTATTTTGTTACAGATTGAACTGAAATGAACGGGAAAATTTCGCTCCGCAAGATCAAAATAAAAACCAGAAGCCCAAACAGACTACACTTTCCAACTAAATAAATTGGGACAATGGACAGTACGTCGGGCTTTAATACACAAACAATCAAGATGGATATTCCAAAACATAGTGTATGTATTAACCAATGCCGGAATGTTTCGAGAGTAACTACAATAGTTTTCAAATCTCCTGAACCCGGCACAGTTTATCTAAATCGAACTTTCGTTGAAAATAGAACTGATAATGAAACGAACTATCAAACTATTTTGGAAACTAATCTAGATTTGAACGAATCCCTAAGTGAATTATATAATTTCGAAAGAACGTTGAACAATACGTTTTCAAATTTTAGTTACGAAAATGGAACGTGTACTAGTGATGTGCAAAGTTACAACTTGTGGGCGTTATCGTTACTAGTGTTTCCAGTGTTAACTTTATTCGGTAACGTGCTGGTTATTATGAGTGTAGCGCGCGAGAGAAGTTTGCAAACTGCAACAAACTATTTTATAGTAAGCTTGGCTGTTGCGGACCTGTTGGTGGCGGTCGTCGTGATGCCTTTTGGAGTGTATTATTTGGTAAGTAAACAATTCTTACAATCTTCCTATACATACGGTTTTTTTGTATAAGAGGGCAAACGAGCATCCGGTTCACCTGATGGTAAGTAAATAACACCAATGAACAACTGCAACAAAAATTGGAAGATACATTGCCGGCAAAACAATAGGCTCTTTTCTTCAAGGTCCCCAAGTCTTCCCTAGTAATAAGTTGGTATTACTTACATATTTGAATATGAGAGACAATCCATGAAACTATGAAAAACTAGAAGACTCATTTTCTTTTATGCCACCACTTTGCACCTGCTATGATTTTTTCGTTGTCTCCGAGGACAGATAATGCCATATGGCACTAAGTCCGCCTAATGCAACCCTTTACTTTAAAGCAGTGGTTCATAACCTGTGGTTCCTAATTAAAGGCACCCGAAATAGTCCGCGAAAGCATCTTATAATTCAAATTTCTCACGCATGAAATTGTACAACATTTTATATATATGTTTTTAAAATATCAAGTTTCTATATTAAAATAAGGGACACTCAATGATGCCACTCATTCATTTTTGTATGATTATTTATAGAAAAATAAACTTTTAAGTCTACTTCTAAGTAAAAAGTCCAAGAGGTTCATAGCACAAAACTGTTCACACTGTTCTAAAGTATTTACGTTTAAGAATAAATAAATAAACTTGTAAATTCGATTATGATCCTGGGAATCGCGATTGGTTGCAAGTGCCAGTAAAATGAAGACTATTGCTACGACGGACGGCAGTATATACAAGCGTAACTAATTTAGAAAAAAAACAAGATATCAAATAGGTCTCCAAACGGATTTGGAGATATGGTTTTCAGTTTCTTGCCGATCCTAGAGCTCTAGAGGTTTACGGAGCTGAAACAGTACAAACATTTTTGTTATTAAAATTATAATTATATTTTTTCGAAAAATATAATTCTATAAACACTAAAAATATTGTAAATTCTTAAAAATATTTTGATCAAACGTTGAGTTAAATAACAAAAATAATTAGTTACTGAATAAATATAATGTATAAAATTATAAACATGTGTGACAGTAGCCTAATGGATACAGATACGGAATGCTAACAAAAATGTTTGTATTCGCAAGTATACCAACAATGGACTTTCACTGGATGGTGCAAAAAATAAGAAATTTAGCGATGAACGAGGGTTTTGTTGCTAAGAAATCACAGACATCTTAGAGTACAAAAAAAAACAAGTTTAAATACTCTAAGACAAACATCTATTTAAGTATAATAAGGAATTTAACGTTATTAGTTCGGAGTTTTAGCGGAAACTTGACCGCCGGCTGATTGCTTCTCGTGAATTACAGTGTTTATAAATTTACTTTAATGTTTTATATTGAGTTTTTGTGGTAACTCTCACAGAATAACCGCGTAAAATAGCAGTTTAATGCTGCGGTGTTTCGTATTGTGGGACCGGAGACCCTTTTTACTGCAAACAAGGCATTTCATCTTAGTCCTCAGGGGTGGCAACGCATCTCCATTTTGATACTTAATCGAGGATAGATGTAGATGTCTATGGATCACAGCATCCACTTACTATCAGATGGACTGTGTGTTCGTTTGTCATCCATATTCTATAAAAATAAAAAACTTGATCGCTGGTGGATTGCAGCTCCTATAGTTTCGTTTAAGTGGATTTTAATCTTCAGGTTTTGGATATTAATTTTTGGTCATTCTGCGTAGATCGGACCTTATATTATTTTGGATATTGTATGTCTGCGCAAATGAATTATTAGTAGAAACGATGAAACAAGTGTTCCGATTGTGATGTGAACTGTAAGGTAATGTGCTTTGATCATAGGGAGTTCCTAAATGATCAAGCAGCTTGAGCAAGTACGCTGATTTATGCTTGAGTCAAGCATGTTAGATCATTTACAATATTTGCTTGGTGCTAGTTTCAAGAGCTTTATGCTTGCACCGTGCTTGTCGTGGTTTTATATTTTTTATTTTACATGACGTTTGATACTATTCGTGACCGGTTTGATCAAATAATGCTATAATCATGAATTCGAAAATACTTTGTGCATCAAGCTATTTGAGAGTTACAAGCAAAATGAAACTACATGCTTGCCGTCAAGCTGCTTTTTGGAACACCTTTACATACTCTATGTATTTGCACTTGTTTGAAGAAGATAATTTACAAAACTATGGAGTAATTATATTAATTAATTGGCTTTAATTGTTTATTTTATTCGATATCGTTAAACAAATAAGTGAATTAATTACAAAATTTTAAACAATATACAACATAATTAAGATTGCTGATCATAATTAATATATTTAAAAAAAAACTTAATAAGAAACATCGCCAAAGTCTGAACTGTTTCTTCTCTTCTCTGACTCGAGGCTATTGATAACTATCGCGGCAGTAAACAATTTACATTTAATAATTTTTTGCAATAAATTCTGCGTCGGGTTTTAAGTTTGTTTTTTCTAATAAAACTGTATGTATTAAATTGTACCCATATATATTTTTTTTTAAACTACTACATTTGAAATTGAAAAAATTCAAAAACCTGTTACCAGGTTAGGCAAAAAAACGGACAGATAGTATTTCTTTATCGTTTACGCTTTTTACCGCAATATTTAGAAACAGCGTGGTAAAAGACACTGTTATTCAGAGATAACAAACCTGTTTTGAACTAGGCCACTCATCAATGATTAAGCTTTAAAAGAATTATATATGTTCTTTGAGAGCTGTGAATTTTGTTATTTCTATTTTTTGAGTTTTATTTTTGTATTTTATGTACATTAAGTTCCGTATTAATAAACGTTATTCAACGACTAACTCAAGTGCTTAATTACTTGATACGCTCAACAATAATTACGATATCAGCATCTCTTAATCGTTCTAATTATTGAACACATAAAAACAGTATTTCAAGACGCTGTACTAAGGAATACTTTCTTGTGACTTGAGGGCTTGATCTCGTGAACTATTACGTTACAGACCGAAGTTTAGGTTATCATTCATCACTTTCCGTTTTTGCTATGTCGCGAGACTTATTGAATACTTTTATTTTGATAAAATTAAAATAAATAGAGTAGTATCACGTTATAAAGTTGTATTCTAGTTCCGAACACCTTAAATTGTTAAAACTATAATGTATGTATTTCTAACTACGAACTAAATTATTACTACTTAGTTCAATATGTACAAATAACCTAACGCATTAAGGCCTTAACTGCGGTTGAAATGTCTAAATTCTTGGATATTTAAGTAAAAAAATCACAATAATTGTTCATTTAATCCACAAAGAAAAAATACCGGGTAACAGAAGAGGATTTAGTTAATATTTATAATTGAACATAATTGTACTTTTGTCAACCCCTTATTAGAAAAAAAATCCCCAAAGACTACCTGTCTTTGTCAAACTTTGCAAAATTTCTCCAAAACGGCACAAGCTTTTTAAATACTTCTTACACGAAAAAAAAAAGGTTTTAAAAATGTCAATATTTTTAATTTATAGTTTTATTTTTATTTCCCGTTTTATAAGAGAAAATATCATTTTTCCCTGAAATTGAATATATTTGCGCGAGCATGCATGCTCCGTCGCCCTGTAATCACCCGCAAGCCCTGTCGCAGTCCGTTTTCGGACATCGTCGAGAGTGGACCGCGCATCGGTGTTGGAGCGACTTCGTTCGAATATATTTTACTTTTTTAAAGGTTTATACCCAATTATAAATATTATTATGACTAGAAATACTTAATTTTGTTAATATCTGTACACTGGTACCTGTACATATTGTTTTCTAAATAAATTAATTTTTAAAGTGCTCAAAGAAGAAGAAATTTTCGCGGTGAAATTGAAGAAATGCATTTTTATATAATTTTGATGTGGAGCTGTGGAACGACCAACATACTCTCGTTACTTAGATTTCGATTATTTTTTAATACCTATGTAATTTTATTGTTGAATATTTTTATTAATTAATTGATACTGAATTTTATAATTATGTATTACAATAAAACGCGGTTTTTTTGAGTATGACTTTAATAAAATATTATTGGGGAGGGAAACATAGATACAGATACTTACATTTAGGTACACTGTTATCAAATTAGATCAAACAGTTTAATTAAATTTAAAATGGTGCTTTCCTAAATATAAATAACTATATAAAGACATTCTTGCGTTTATGGTTTTTTTAATGTTAGACAAACTATCATCTAAAAAATTTACAAAATTTTTGATTGGAGAGGGGATTATCTTCGTGATAAAGTTAGAAATGAAGATATTCGCGGTAGAACCAGAGTAACTGACATAGCCCGACGGAATATTAAAGTGAAATGGCAATGGGCTGGCTATATAACTTAGAAAATTGATAAAAAATGGAAGAAAGGTTCTCGAGTGGCAACCTCGTACTGGTAAGCGAAGTAGTACTCAACCTTTATTCCTCTTTACGTATTCTCATATGCATTCTTCACACATCCACCACACACAACACACACACACACACACACACACACACACACACACACACACACACACACACAAACACACATGTACGCGCACACACAAACATACACACACACACACACACACACACACACACACAAATAGGTTGCAAATATTACTTACCTACTACTATTAGAAGTACATTGGCAATGTGATTATCGGACGTCTAGATTAAGAATTTGCCAGCAAATCCTTTTTATTGGTGTCTGAATTAGTTCCTAAATGCAACCACCAAACGTCAGCAAAGCTTTTTAATGATGCAGTGAGTGTTTTGTGGCCTGATGGAGTTAAACACAAACAAGTTTTCTTGCTACTTAGCGATGCTGTTCCTTATATGGTAAAAACTGCAGGTGCCCTACAAGTTTTGTATCCAAAAATGATTCACGTGATGTGCTTGGCTCATGGTATAAATAGATTAGCTGAATGCATAAGGTCTCAGTTTAAAAAGGTTGACAGGTTAGTATCAAACGTAAAGAAAATTTTTTTGTAAGCACCAAGCAGTATCTCAAACTTTAAAGAG